GGGTAAAAGCTTTTCCCATATTTCACCACTCACTATTTAACTCATGATCTATATCACTAACTCATGAACCTTGTCCAATCACTTCATAAAAGAACAAAGACTCCAAAGTTCTTCCAAATAAAAGTATAGGGAAATACTGATAAAGTACTCCCGTACGCTCCCGTACCCCGACACGTAATAGTGTCAAAAGGAAGAACTAATGGATGAACACATAGTTCAAAAACACCTAATGAACATATAGTTCAAGAACACTTTATGAACATATAGTGCAAACATACGTACCGATTACAAGTCTACTAACGTTCCACTGGACTATCTAAAATAGTCTGTGGTCGTTGTCTATACTCTGCTAGATGACTAGATCATCTTAAACATCGATACCTCTCATCACTTTTATTTCATCACACATCATCTAATTAATCTACCCATGTTTTACCCAACATATTTGTAGATCAATATATATATATATATATATATATATATATATATATATATATATATATATACAGTTTAAAACTTGTATAAAACATCAATTCAACAGTCACCTCAAATAAACAATTAATATATTTACACATAGCACGTATTTTAAGGTAAATACTTCATATCTATGTGTACGGTGAAAGTGACTATACACTCACCTGATTTAATGAACATCGGGCAGCAATTCGTTTCCTAAAATGATCGTTTCTAATAAAACCGGGAGTTTTATTGAGAAACCGGGCTCTGCAAGGGTCGGGCTTCGAAACCGAAAAGATAAATTTTCCGGGCTTCACGGGCACTTCGTGGCGTATTCCGGGGCTTATAATTGATACCGGGGCTTATAATTGATACCGGGGCTTATAATTGATACCGGGGCTTCGGGGGGTGATAATATGAAAGAAATATGAGTTTAGGGGCTAAAATTGACAATTTTCAAAAGTACCCCCGGGAGGTCTCGCACCCTTGTATTTATAGGGCCGAGCCTCCTGATCCAATGGCTGAGAAGTGGCCACGCTCCGCGGATCCGACGGCTCGCAGAGGAGGCTCGCACGAGGGCTGCACGTGGGTCGCACCTGCGAAGGCTCGCTGGCAGTCTCCTATTGGACCGAGGTCTACTGGTCCGAAGCCTAGGCACCGTGGCAGTCAGCGAGGGTTCGGTCTCGTGCTAAGAGGGTACGTGTCGCATGGCTACTGGACCGCTTCGGATAAGGCCATGTGCTCGGATGACTCAGCAGCTTCGCCACGTGGCTTCGCATGAGTCACAGATTTCGGACACGTGTCACATTCTAAGCGAGGGTGACGTGGCAATTGTGACTATGCGAATTTTCTCGGTTTTTGTGCAAAAACTTCTAAAATCCATAACTTTCGCATACGAGCTCCGTTTTTGATGTTGTTTATATGCACACGTAGGTAAAATTACGCTCTACAACTTCCGTTTAAACTTTGTCGGCTAATTTTGAATTTAATTTTTATATTATTATTTTTAACAGACCGGGACAGGAAATCCGTTAAAAATTCATAACTTCTTCATTCGACGTCGGTTTTCGTCAGACTTTTTACCGTTGTGCTACTATTTACGAGACCTTCGATTCTCATTTAGGTCGCGTCGGCTAAATATCACTCGATCTAAAATTCGAGTTTTTAGCTGTCTACTGCTAAGCTGAAACTTCAAAAAATCATAACTTCGTCATACGAAGTCAGATTTGGGTGTTCTTTTTATACCTACTCTTGGTTTAACGAACACTACGAGTTTCGTTTAGATCACTGAGGCTAAAAAGTAGTTTATCAAAAACTCACTTTTTACGACATTCGGCACCGTGCCTGTTTATCGTGAAACTTCGACAGGTCATAACTTCTTCGTTATAACTCGGATTTCGGCATTCTTTATATATCCGTAATCCTTGTCACGCCCACTACAAGTTTATTAATAGATATCGGCTTTATCTAAAATTTAATTTTTGACGCTCATTTTTATTCTTAATTAATTAAACCCTAATAATTAAGCATAAAACACATAATTCACATAATATTCACATAATTCCTTTTCATTTCTTCTAAATGAGTTACAAAGGTTAACTTAGACCATTATGTCAATATTAATGCCTATCCTAGAAACACGGGCGTTACACTTTTCATCTTTTTTTGGTTTTTTTTTGTATTATATTTTTTATTTTTTCCTATTTTTATTTTTTTCATTATTTCGTTTTATTTTTCATCAATTTGATAACTTTTTTTTTGTCCCTTTCCAAAAAGTGTAAAATGTATGAATATATTAGACTATATTACAATTTTGGTGTTTGAGTTTTTCTTTCTTTCTTTTTTTTATATAATTTTGATTATTTATGATTTTTGTAATGTTTTTTATTTTGATTCGAGTAAATAAAATAGTTATATTTACAAATATAAATAAAGAAAGAAACATAAGTTTTTAATTTACTCGAATCAAAATAAAAAAAATGTTACAAAAACCATAAAAACAAAATAATTAAAAACAATAGAAAACCAAAAACACTCGAACACT